CTTGTAGTGACAGCTGTAGCAGCAATTCCACAGATGGATAGTTCTGCACAGATGCTTCTATCATATTAAGCTAGATCCACAAGAAGGGGGCTAACCATCCATCCATACAGGTCAAAAATGAGATACAACCACACTGGTTTCCAGTGAATGAGCAGAGATGTTAAGGTCTGCTCATGGGATACATGCTGCAGTTACTGATGGCACCTCCACCTGGATGCTATACAGGATGAGAGGAATGAGTGAATTGCTTTGGTTGTGAAGTATTGGCAGGAGTACTACCTGTGCCTTACCCAGATGCAGAGTTGTCAGTTACCACTGATGCTTGGTAATCTGGAGGACCATCAGTACTAACAAATCCAATGGTGCAACGGGTACAGAGGGACCAGCAACAGATGCTCTGAAAAAATTGTGTTTGGTCATTGGATGGGAGGGGCACAATGGACAGCTTGCACCAAAGAGTTCAGTGGTCACAGGGATGAGTATGGTTTTGGAGGTGTTGCATAAAGAACAAAAGTAGTCATTTCTAGTTTCAGATCTGTAATTGGCATTCTTGGGATGGACATACTGTGGAGCTTGCCTGTGCAACAGGTGAGGTGATGTTATGTGAAAATATAAACCAATAATGACTAGTTTGTAGGTGCATATCTGCATTTAGCTGTAGTGTGATGGACACAGCCCTTGTGTTATTGCTAACACTGGTTACCCAGACTTCATGTATCATGCCTACAACCACTCCAGCATCCAGCTGAATAGCCAGTCACACATAATTATAAAGCAGCACTGGAACTTCATCCTTTGTCAAACAAATCACTGTTTAAACTAATGCTGCTGCTTTCTGGACAGGAAAGTTCATTTCATGTGTGGCTTCTATGAACCTATTATACATTACTGATGCATTACACTATTTCCAGATTAAACCACTGAACACCACTTGTGTATGTAGAGGCACTATTTCTCTCTTTATTACATACACTTGTGCAACTCACTTTTCCTGGACTCAAAAACACATTTGAGGTTGTTGGCTGAGGATTTTGTAAATAATTTAAGACCCAACAAAATGAAAGCAACCTGGTGACTTGCTGTTTGAATATGCCAGTGTATTTGTGAGACTAGATGACCATTTGGATCAAACAACAGTAACAAAGCACCATAAAGAAACATGTGACCACTACACTGGCTTCCCTAAAGCATAAGGGAGGTTGCAAGCATTGAAATTCAGAGTATTATTTCAAGGTGGAGTCATACAATCTTTGGAGAATGCTTGGTAATTTCCAGTAATGATCGTCAAAAAGAAGGAAGGTACATCAAGGTTTTTTCCGATTTTAGATGTGTGTAAATGTTATTTCATGTTTATGCATTTCCTTTACCACAAACAGGTGAATGAGTGTCTGAATGCATTAGAAGGTTGCCAATGGTTCGACATCTTAGATGTGATATCAGGATATTGGCAAGTCAAGCTGGATAACAAAAGAAGGCCTAAGACAGATTTTAGCACAAGAGATGGCTTATATGGTATTATGTCATGCCATTCTATGTAATGCATCAGCTCCAGGAGATTGATGGA